AAAGGATTGTTCCTGGCAAGATTCTTTCCCTTAGGGAGAAGAGCAGGGGGTCTTATCATGCAGATTACCTCATCTTCCTCTGGGGATACAGAGGGCCCATGCAACAGATTACTTCAAAGGAACTGATTAGAAAATTCCTGACTAACTGGGTAAGATTTATATTTCTGATGCAGGTTGAAACTACAGTACTGGATTAGGTATTTAGCCCCATTTGGTGACTTGGCCTAAGTGATGCCATTTTGGGCCTGTTAACAAATTGTACCAATTTGCACTATTTCCCCTAAGAGCTTTTAGAAATAGTTAAAGTGTTTATGAAAAGTGTGCCTCAACCAAATAGGTAGATCACATCATCAAAAGAAATACATTAAAAATTAAGTTACTGGGGTGCCAGCTGGCTTAGTCGGTTGAGCATCTGACTTCAGCTCAGGTCATGATCTTCCGGTCCGTGGGTTCTAGCCCCACGTCAGGCTCTGTGCTGACAGCTCAGAGCCTGGAGCCTGCTTCAGATTCTGTCTCTCTCTCTCTCTCTCTCTCTCTCTGCTCCTCTCCCGCTCTGTCTCTCTCTCAAAAATAAACATTAAAGCAAACTTAATTTAAAAAAAATAGAGAGTTACTATATCTTGATAAATATTTTTGCTTTGAAGGTCCCCTTCTATTTTTTAGTGTGAAGCTATCTAAAACATATATTGACAGTTGGATAGTCCTTGCCTCTTCATGAGACATCATCTCTTCCAAGAAATAGATAATAAAGATATTCTTGCCAGAACTTAAAATATGGAGGAAAGGCAAAAACTGTCCAACTTAATGATGTCAGATACGTTATTGTAGCTGTTTTTTCCTTTACAGCCTAAGCATACATTCCAGTTGAATGTCTCAACTTCGTCATCCTTTATTGGATATGCCACTTCCTTTCACCCTTTTCTGATACAAGATGTGACTGAATAACATAACACTTAAGATGAAACTTTGTGGGTATTGACCAGGATAGACTAAGTTATATGCAGTAACAAGCACCACCCAAATCACTGCCAGTGGTTAACATAACCGAAGTTTGCTTTTTGCTTGTGGGAACAGCACTGAGAGTCCAGAACAGCTGGCCTCATGAGGAGGCCCAGCATTCCAGGTGGCTTTGATCTTGAAGCACCCCCGTATCAACATGTGCTTATACCTGGTGGCGAGCATGGGTGCCTGGTGAATTGCCCCCTGGCTCTTCAGTGTTCCTGGGTGAAAGGGACACATAGGCATAACTAACCCAGGGCAGGAAGATGTAATCCTCTCTGAAGGGGCAGAAGATAGGAAATATTGGTGAGCACTGGTAATATCTACCGAGTCCATTTTTGGTCCACAGGAAGAGGGGGGCAAAGTTATAGTTGCATATTGTGATCTCTGTCAACTTTCAGGATGTACTTATACTCTCAGCAAAAACAGAAAGCTGAAGGAAACTGAATAGTCTAGCAAACCCTTGAAGGACTGAAAATGTGGAGAGAAGGGATGCCATATTAAATCAAAAGATGTTTGTTTTTCTGATGTCTTGATTCAAATACCGCAGCTATTGGGGTGCCTGGGTGGCTCAGTGGGTTAAGTGTCTGACTTCTGCTCAGGTCCTGATCTCACAGTTCGTGAGTTCGAGCTCCACATCAGCCTCTGCGCTGACAGCTTGGAACCTGGAGCCTGCTTTGGATTCTGTGTCTCCCTCTCTTCCCCTCTCCCACTCGTGGATGTGTGCTCTCTCTCTTTCAAAAATAAATAAATGTTAAAAAAAAAATTCAAGTATTATAACTAGTGTAGTAGCTCCCTAAGAAATTTTTTAAAACTTTAGAGTCTTTTAGAGTCTGAAATAGACTGAACAGAGATAGTTCTGTAGGGGGCTTATTACACTTCTCAGGTCTGAGCCCCTGTTCGTCTTTTAAAAGGACATCAACCTTTGGAGAGTATCACTGGGGGATAGGTGAGTCCTCCAATGAGGTTACCTTGGTTACTGCTGGAGAGAAGCTTCCAGATTTGTGTGTGGCAGAAGAAAAGGCTGATTTCCATAGCCAGTTATGGTGACATGTTGAGGGTCCCCATGACCCCACTCGGATGACAATTGGATTTTATCCATCCATGTGTATCTGGCTTTTTAAATTTTTTAGACTTTCCAGAGGATAAAGGTATGAGACAGGGTGTCTGGGTGACTCAGTCGGTTAAGTGATCAACTCTTGATTTCAGCTCAGGTCACTATCCCATGGCTCATGGGATTGAGTTCTGTGTCGACCCCCCTGTATCGGGCTCTGTGCTGACAGCTAGGACACTGCTTGGGATTTTCTCTCTTCCTCTCTCTCTCTGCCCCTGCCCTGCTTGTGCTCACATTTTCTCTCTCTCAAAATAAATAAACATTAAAAAAATAAAAATTATAAATAATATGAACTAAAACGTATAAAGTATCCCTACACATGTATTCCAATAAAAGTAAACTATTGTTGGGTTCTTCCTGTTGCGATTTCTACAGCGGAGCGACTTTCAAACAGCTGGCTGGATGTTCGTCACATCGAAAAATATGTTGACCAAGGTAAAAGTGGAACAAGAGAACTACTCTGGTCCTGGGCACAGAAAAACAAGACCATCGGTGACTTGTTACAGATCCTCCAGGAGATGGGGCATCATCGAGCTATCCATTTAATTGTGAACCATGGTAAACATTTATGATTCTTATGATGTGGCTCTCTGTCTATTTTATAGAGTTTGCAATTTATAAATGTAAATATTGCATTTTGTTCAAGACCATGACTGGTTATACTATATGTCAAGGATTCCTTACCTGAGGCTTTATCTGAAGGCTTTTGTCACTTCTTTTGGGTGACACTTTCTTTCCTTATTGCCTATGTTATACAACACAGTCCTTTCTACCACTTGTTTGGGTTTTTAAAATTTTTTACTTGTAAACTACACATTAAAAATTTTTTTTAAATATTTATTTTCGAGATAGAGACAGAGACAGAGTGTGAGCAGGGGAGGGGCAGAAAGCGAGGGAGACACAGAATCCGAAGCAGGCTCCAGACTTTGCTGGAGCTGTCAGCACAGAGCCCCACGCAGGGCTCGAACTCACAAGCGGTGAGATCATGACCTGAGCCGAAATCAGATGCTTAACCGACTGAGCCACCCAGGTACTTCTAAATTACACTTTTTTAAACATTTCATTCTTAGCTAAGAGAATCAGTTTTCCATCCAAAACTCTGACACTATTTGAATCGTAAACAGAATCACAGTGTTTGAGTAAAACATAAATACTTTTATAATTAGCTTTGTCATATAAGTCAAAATATAATTGGATTCTCTCTTCCCCTGCCCTTGTATTTGAGGGCAAATGATGCCTGGGGCTTATCTTTTATCTTCAGTGCTGTTTTTATGCCAGGGCCTCTAACTCTAGGCCTTACGAGTCTCGTTTCACAGTGGCCTAATACCTCCCTCTATTTGTCTTATGTGTTTCTGATGCTGTGTCATGACTTACACTTAAAAGCAACGTGATGAGGAAAGCTCATGAAACTTTTTCTGTTCATTCTTTATCAATAAAATAAGTTCCTAATGTCCCCTGTTCTGTTTACTCCACTTTAGATTTATTCACTTCAACAAGAATGATCCTGAGTGATCTTGGGTCTTACGTTACAGACTCAGGGCTCTTAGGCTGAAAATTCTTTTGAATCAGCATCCTTGTTCTTTTGGCTCTTTTGTCCAGAGGTATTTTTAGTTCCGTATATTTGCATGCAAATATACCTCTACCTTATCACCCCTACCTAGAAAAAATCCTGCGAAATTTGTACCAGAACACTGTACCTTCAGATTGACTTTTATATGCTTTTTACGTTTAATGGGATATTAGACAGTTCCCAATAGGCTCCCACTACGGTATTTCCCGTAAAACGTGGCTCATCTCTTTTGTCACTGTTTCCTCACTTGGTTTAGTCCCATGGAATGCTTCACTACGAAGCTGACTGACCAAGTAAAGTACAGTGACTCCCTGGACACTGTAAATGCACTGCCTTTTCATTCTCTGAGCCTTTTCCAGCTGCTGAAACCACCCACACAACTTATTGTTCACAATATAAACTCACACCAATCTGATAGGACACAGGGTTATGTTTTACATTTACAGATTCTGGAATAGATTTCAGGATACCTTTTCACTCTCTGTGTTGTTTATTTACACAGCAGAGAATGATGTGGACTGTGAGTAGACGAAAATTTCACATCCTTGCTTGACTCCTGTTGCACATGCAAAATTGATTTCATTTTTAAAAATAGGAGGGGCGCCTGGGTGGCGCAGTCGGTTAAGCGTCCGACTTCAGCCAGGTCACGATCTCACGGTCCGTGAGTTCGAGCCCCGCGTCAGGCTCTGGGCTGATGGCTCAGAGCCTGGAGCCTGTTTCCGATTCTGTGTCTCCCTCTCTCTCTGCCCCTCCCCCGTTCATGCTCTGTCTCTCTCTGTCCCAAAAATAAATAAACGTTAAAAAAAAAAAAAAAAAAAAAAAAGTTTAAAAATAGGAGATTCGCTGATTGGTGGAAAGACAATTATTTACTGCCCTAGTATCAGGAGATAGGTAAATCTGAGATGAAGAAGAGGATAGCATTTTGGTCTGAGTCCTTTTCTGAGAAAAATAGCATTATTTAATTGCAACTTGTTGAGTGGATGCTTTGAAACTAAATCTTTAAAATGTTAGTTGTTTAGCTTGTTCAAAGAAGCGTGATGATTCATGGAAACTGTTAAGTGAGCCTACTGAACACGTGTCTCCTATGATAGCTACTCAATGAACTAGAAGTTAGAGTTCCTAACTGAAAGTGCATAAAAAGATTTAGTCTTTGTTTGTTGCTCCCATGGACAGACTTACCAGTTATCCAAATAATCCATTATTTGCTCAAATATACATTTTTGCCTCCCTTCCCTTGAAATTGTCAGTTTGGTGGGATGGTTTTCATTTTAGAGGAGAGATCACTTTGTGGATTTGGAATTTCTTACAAGTCCTCCTGAGAAAAGTCTTGTATTTCCTCCCAGTCACTATTCCTGCGATTCAGGTGGCTGCCATTAGGTGTTTTCACATCCGTAAAGCATTCCCTCATATCTCAGGACATAGCCTAGTTGCTCAAGAAACGAGAATCCTTACCTGCTTTCGTTATATTTCTGGTATGCCTGCTCTTACATATCACATTTGGCATTTATATTTCAATGGTCATGATTGTTTTCTACTTTTGACGTAAAATCCACAGTTTTCTGCTGGCTTCTTAGGAGAGCCGTTTTGAATCTTCAATTTTATATGACAATGAATATTGCCTTCCTTTTTATGGGCAACAAAAGGACAATGACTTTTAGTGCCCTTAGTTCAAATTTTATTCTACACGATACTTCCCCATGATGTTTATTTCTTTTTCTTGCCTAATTGCCCTGGCTAGAACCTCTGGTATAAGGTTGAATAGAAGTGGCAAGACCAGACATTTTTTTCTTGTTCCTGATGTAAAGGGGAAAGCATTCAGTTTTTCATAATGATGTATGACATTATTTGTGGGCTTTTCACAGATACCCTTTATTAAATTGAGGGAATTCTCTTCTATTCCTTGGGTTTTTACGATAGGTTAGTGGATTTCATGGGTTTAGTTCTTCATTCTATTAATGTGGTGTATTACATTGGTTGATTTTCATATTGTAAGCCAATCTTGGATTCCCGAATGAATCCCACTTGATCATGGCATATACTCTTACATGTTTCTGGATTTACTTTGCTCATATTTCATTGAGGACTTGTTGTTGAAGACTTCTGCATCTATGTTCATAAGAGATATTGGACTATAGTTTTCCTGTGAAGTTTTACCTGGCATTGGTATTAGGATAATATTGGGTCTCATAGAATGATTTGGGAGTTGTTTCCTCCTCTTCTATTTTGGAAAAATTTGTAAAGAACTGATGTTAAATTTTGTTTAAATATTTGATAGAATTCACCTGTGAATCCATTCAGGCCTGGGGTTTTGTGTGTAGGAAATCTTAAATTATTAATTCAGTCTCTTTCCTTGCAATAGGTCCATTCAGATTGTTTATTTCTTCTTGAGTTAGTTATGGCAGTTTGTGTCTTTCTAGGAATCTGTCTGTGCCATTTCAGTTATCTAATTTTTTAAGTTTATTTATTTATTTTGAGAGAGCATGCAAGTGGGGAAGGAGCAGAGAGAGGGAGAGAGAAAGCATCCCAAGCAGGCTCTGCACCTGCACAGAGCCGGATGCAGGGCTCAAACCCACGAACCTCAAGATCATGACCTGAGCTGAAATCAAGAGTCACTTAACTAAGTGAGCCACCCAGGTGCCCCTTAGTTATCTAATTTTTTACATGCAAATGTTCATCATATTCTCTTACAATTCGTTTTATTTCTATAGGGTTGGTAGTGTGTCTCCTCTTTGTTTTTGGTTTTAGTAATTTGAGTCTCCTCTCTTTCTTGGTTAGTCTAGCTAAATCAGTTTTGTGATTATTCCAAAGAACCCCTTTGGTTTCATTGATTTTCTTTTTTGTTTTTATATTATCTATTTCATTTACTTCCACTGTAATCTTAATTCTTTCCTTCCTTTGCTTCCTTCAATTTAGCACTTTCTTTTCTAGTTCCTTCAGTGAAAATTCAGGTTATTGATTTAAGATCCTTTTTCTCTTTTAAGGTAGGCATTTACAGCTATAAATTTCCTTTTAAGTGCTCCTTTTGCTACATCCCATAAGTTTTGGTATGTTGTGTTTTCACTTTCATTCATCTGAAAGTAGTTTATAATTTCCCTTGTGATTTCTTCTTGGATTCATTGGTTATTTATGGACTTGTTGTTCAATTTTCATGTATTTGTGAATTTCCCAAATTTCCTTCCATTACTGATTTCTATTTTAATTGCATTGTGGTCAGAGAATATGCTTTGTATGATTTCAGTCCTTCCAAATTTATTGAGGTTCATTTTATCGCTCAAGATATGGTCTATCCTGGAGACTGTTCAACATGCTCTTGTGAAGTATTTGTATATTCTTTTGTTTTTGGATGGAATATTCTAGAGAATGTCTGCTAGATCTAGGCTTGTAGTTTGCTCAAGGAGGTCTGTTATTTTAATTTTTTTTTTTCAACGTTTATTTATTTTTGGGACAGAGAGAGACAGAGCACGAACGGGGGAGGGGCAGAGAGAGAGGGAGACACAGAATCGGAAACAGGCTCCAGGCTCTGAGCCATCAGCCCAGAGCCCGACGCGGGGCTCGAACTCCCGGACCGCGAGATCGTGACCTGGCTGAAGTCGGACGCTTAACCGACTGCGCCACCCAGGCGCCCCGGGGAGGTCTGTTATTAATTGGTTATGTTTTGTTGCCGGTCCTCTAAGCAAAGTAGTTTTTTAAAACATTAGAATACAGTCAAAGAAAAACTAGAAGATGAAATAAAATTTTTCTGAAGTCTGAATCAAAATGTCAGATGTGACAGCAAGATACTTCAGGGTTTTCATCTTTTGCAGGAAGCTACATAGACTACCTCAATTCAAATAGAACATACAGAAGTTACAGTGTATATTTGGGGAGGGGTGATAGGTGTTTGTGGCTGATCACACGCGCACACACACACACACACACACACACACACACCCCTCTAATATCTTACGGCACAAGAGGGGATAAAAAATAAACTAACCTAAGGAGATATAATCCCATAGTTATACAACTTTAAAATATATGGGCAGGAACGCCTGGGTGGCTCAGTCGGTTAAGCGGCCGACTTTGGCTCAGGTCATGATCTCGCGGTCCATGAGTTCGAGCCCCGCATCGGGCTCTGTGCTGACAGCTCAGAGCCTGGAGCCTGTTTCAGATTCTGTGTCTCCCTCTCTCTGACCCTCCCCCGTTCATGCTCTGTCTCTCTCTGTCTCAAAAATAAATAAACGTTAAAAAAAAAATTAAAAAAAAAAATATGGGCAAAAAGCTGATTCAATGTTGCTTTTTTCCTTTCAATTTTCTACTTTCTACTTTAATATTTTTAATGATGTCTATCAATAATGTAAGGTAGGTATTATACATTAGGTAAACAAAAACATGTTTGAATAATATTTGATCATTACAAAGCTATTTACATATGTTAATTTGTAACCATTCAAAGGGAATGCAACTGAACTTTAGAAATTAACACTACTAGCAAGGTGTTTATTTTCACAGTCTAAGAAAGGAAAAAAAAACATGCTTATTAGAGACATACAATTTTATCTGTATCTACCTCCCTTTATTTCTTTTTAGGAGCACCCTTGAAGAGTCAGAGTCATCATGGAGATAGATTTCCAAACATGTTACCCAAGGTAGAGTGTATGTGCCGAAATAATGAACCTTGAACTCTGTTGCATATATAATTGAGCATGGGGGATGAAATTATCAGACAGAAAAATGATGGTTTGCAAGTACTTTTTTAAAACCAGTAAAGCTTTAGCTTTCTCGTTGCTTTGGTTGGGGATTCAGGAAACTAGAGATTTGTGGGAAAAGAGTGAAGAGCTTTCTCCTCTCAATGATCTGTCATAGATAAGACTTAGAACTGGTAAGAGTGCTGTGAGTTACGCATTTGTCTTAATTCAGCTTTTAATTTTCCTGTTCTACTTGGCATTTTGCATGTTGCTGTTGGTTTTTATGGGAACAAATAAATTGGCAGCGATCATTTTTTATAGCATTAGAAGTCATTTAAAATTGACTGTAACTATGACATTGATACTTGAGTTTTTGTAGTTAGTATGGAAGCTTTAAATGTATAAGGCAATGAATACCGTTGAATTAAATAAAGTAACTTCGCTTTCTACTAGCTTTCTTCTAAATTAGATTCTACTCTATTGCACTGTATAGTCCAGGGGGAGCTTTGGATTTCTGTTAAGGTTCTGTTCTTTCTAGGCTTATGAAATGGAATTACTTCAGTATGTATTTCCTCTCTTAGGAAATAGCCAATGTCACAGTGGATAATGTTCTTATTCCTGAACATAATGAAAAAGGTAAAAAAAAAAATTTTTTTTTTTACTTTAAATCATGCTTTGCTTTAAGTTAACTTACAGAGACAAATATCCAATGAACACATTAACTATTCATTAATATGCAGGTTTAGGGTAAAATTTTCATGGATGTTGAAATACTTGCAGCTTTGACTGACACTAAGTTCTGATGGATGATATATTATTGTTATATTAAAAATCCACTGGCCAATGGAGAACATAATTGTGGTCTCTTCCCTGGGGGGGTTTTCATACTTTCTGTTAGTGAAATTTGCATTTTTATGTGTCATAGGAAAACATTTAAAAATTACATTGGGTTTTATATAGTGTTAGAAATTGTGATAGCCCTTGCAGAGATCTTTAGAGATGTTTGTAGAGCAATGCCGAAGGTCACTATGAAAGTCTCATTATTTCCTTATCACTTTTATTACTTTATTAGCAGGGAGAATAATTTAATTCTACCTGGGAATCATTCTGATCAACGTTAATGGCTAGTTAAGGCTGCTTTGCCTCGTCTTTACCACCAGATCTGTACCTTCCTTGGTTCAAAAGAGAATTAGAGAAGTTGGATAAAATTTTGGTCCTTTAAGATTTAACAATAAGATGTAAATCAAACAGCAAATGTGGAAATATAGCCAAAATTGGCTCTGAAGGATTTAGTTAAGCTTTTCCCCTTGGATATGTATTTGATTACCTTCTAAATGTTTTCTCCCAATCTCTGCTTTAGATGATTTTTTTTTTTTTAATTTTTTTTTTCAACGTTTATTTATTTTTGGGACAGAGAGAGACAGAGCATGAACGGGGGAGCGGCAGAGAGAGAGGGAGACACAGAATCAGAAACAGGCTCCAGGCTCTGAGCCATCAGCCCAGAGCCCGACGCGGGGCTCGAACTCACGGACCGCGAGATCGTGACCTGGCTGAAGTCGGACACTTAACCGACTGCGCCACCCAGGCGCCCCTAGATGATTTTTTAAAAAGCTGAAGCATCTTCCTAATTTACTCTGAGGAAGTAAGTTAGAAATTTAGAGGATTTGGCTCATGAAAAATGATTCTATCAGTCATACTTGGAGAATATTGTTTAGTCATAACAAAGTTTCTACTTCTATAGGGTTTTTTTTTTTTTTGAATGATTTTAGGTTCATAGTGAGTCAAAAGCAACCCATTGATCTAATGACAAAGAAGTGGAGTCCTGGAAAACTTTCCTCAACTGAGTTCTTTGGCTGACCTCTTTGGAAGGGTGATAGAATCACAGTACTATTATTCAGATATCTAAAAAGGCATTTGTTCTGTGGAATGGTGGGAGCCAGACCCAAGTAAATGTGCGGAGATGGGCTTCAGTTTTGGTTCCTGGGCCTTCTGCTCCTGGCTCTCTGCTGGGCTCTGAAGTATTTCTAATATGGAACTTATGGTTCTTTTTAATGGTGATGTTGATTCTTTAAAAAAAAAAAAAGAAAGAAAGAAAAGAAAAAGTAACTTATCTTCTCCCTACTTTCTGTCCTAAGGAATATTGTTTAAATCCTCCGTCAGCTTTCAAAACATCAGAGATGGAACCAAAAATTTCCACAAAGACTTCCTAATTGGAGAAGGGGAGATTTTTGAGGTATACAGAGCGGAGATCCAAAACCGAACATATGCCATTAAATTATTTAAACAGGTATGGAAAGAATTACTATCACAGGATATCAGTTCCATTTATTTGCTCATATTTTATGCTAGAATGTGTCATTTTTCATCAACATTGAAAGGAGATATACTCGAAAATAAAATTTAATAAATGGAAATAAGATATATGACCTCAGGTGACTGGAGAAAAGACCATGAAATGAATGCCTGACTTGCAGGAATGTGGAAGTGAAATTCTTCCTATCCCCAGATGTGTCGAAGGAGAAAGGCTTTTCTGAAGAGCTGTGTAGGAGCTTGGCACTTTGCCTGTGCTGGTCTGCTCCAGTTTTCTGTGTTGTTTTGTTTTGTTTTGTTTTTGGTCTTGTTTTTAGGATGGGCCGTGTCTCCTCCAGGCAGCTTCACAGGCTAAGCCCCAGATTGGTCTTTGGTGCTACTTTATAAATTATCGTTTATCATAGTTCAAGAGGGTGGGAAAGGGGAGGCTTCAAATAGAAGGAGCGAGGCAATGATCAGAGTTGGAGTTTAGGAGAAAGCTGAGTGACTGCAGCCAGTAAGGCAGAAAGGGTGTTGGGGTATCACACCCAGGAGTCAGGAAGAGACAGGTATGCACACATACACCCAGAAGAACTGCTCTGCTGTTCTTCATCGTTAGTCAGCAGTCAGTAAACATTCATTCACCTCTCTCTGTGAAATGGGTGCTGGGCAAGGATGAATAAGGCATCATTCCATCCTCTGGGAGCTCAGTCCTGTGGGGCAAACGGTCAGGTAAAGAAAGCAAAGATTAAGCTACAGCGTGAGAAGTAGTTGAGCCCGGATTTGCACAAGAGGTCATGGCAGCACAGAAAAGACAGCCAGGGCAGGGGCAGATCCAGCACCCAGAAGAGAGCCTGGCACAGAGGAAGTACTTGATAAACATTTCTGCAATAGACAAATGGGAAAAGTGAACGGAAGGAAGTGACCTCTCAGCTGGATTTTGAAAGCCCAGTAGAATTTTGGCGGGGAGCAAGGCATGGAAGTGCTTTCTGGGTGGAAGAAATAGCAGGTGTAACAGCCTGGAGGTGCGTGTGTGCAAACATATGCCTTACTAATAACAGATCACTGGGTGGAGGGAACGTAGAGCGGGGGGGTGGGAAGGTAATGGCAGATGACACGGGAAAGATGGCTCAAGTCGGTGGGCGGGTTTTAAGTGGGAGAGTGAAAGGATTAGGTTTGTGTTTTTGAGATATAACTCTGAGCACAGGTTAGGTGATGGGCTGGAAGTCGGCAGAGGCATTGGAGCAGAGATGGCAAGGACTAGGCTGGAGGTGGATAGAGGGGGTTTTAGATGGGTAGTGAAGAGATGGATGGGACTTAAACCCATGTCCTCAAGCCTAACATTAGAGTCACCTCAGGAGCTTTTTAGCAATGATCCCTCAGCATCAGGTTAGGTTAGCATAGTGGTGGCAGGCATCCGTATTTTTTCAAAGCTCCCCACGTGGTTCAGATGTGTAGCCAGCGTTGAGAAGCCCCGCTCTGAGCTAGGGCAGAGGCAAGGAGAAGGTATGTCTAAGCCAGGAGGTGAAATGGACCAAATCTCACGATCGGTGAGATAGGGCTGGGCAAATGGGGGAGAGGATGGATCTCGGGCGATTCCTCCTCTGCAGCTTAGATTATGGGGCCCTTTTTTTTTCTTTAATTATTAACCTGATTTCTCCAGTCCTTACATAGCATTCTATACCCACTGATTTTATACGGATGTCTCAAGATTCCTGAGGAGACAAACGGTCTAATAAAGAAATGAAACACCATTCAACAAAGAGAATGTGGTTATCTAGAGGTGGCCTAACTGAAGCCTGTTTCCTAGGGCCAGTGTGTCCCAGTCCCATTTGTATGTTCTCTTGGAGTTGAGCCCCACGGCCACCTCCCCAAAAGGTTTCAGCCCTCTCTCTACTTTCCTCTTCTCTCCATGGCTGCCACCAACTCACACTGGGAGTTTTTGTGAGGTTTTTGGAAGGTTTTGGGAGGTTTGGGATTTTTTATTTATTTATTTATTTTTTATTCCAGGAGTCTGGCTTCAGAATGGAATGTCATTGCCTTTAGATCTCCTTTCCCTCCTGTCCTAGGGACAATGATCATTTCCTTGATTGACTCCAACCCTTCTGGTATAGTTTTGGTGACCCTCCAATGTGCAGCCACAGCACCATAGCAATACCTCCTAATACTGGTTTCTTCACGCACCTCTCCCAATGGACTAGATGATGGTTTTTAAAGGTCTTATTTATCTTTGTATCCCGGAGCCTTATTACAGAGCCTGGCCCATGGAAGTTGCTCAGTAAATGTTCGTTAGGTGAATTGAATGAAGCATGTGTGTATGTCCTTTTCGTGAATTTAGTTGCTGATCTCTAGGAGTAAAAGGACACGAAGTAACAAAGTTACCGAAGGCCTAGACACCGTACAAAGTCCTAAGTGTGTGCCTGTGTGTGTGTGTGCGCGCGCGCGCGCGCGCGCACACACACACACACACACACACACACACACACACACACCGGGGAAAGATGGGAAATTTAATGAAGCCTTAGCCATAGAGCATTTGTTTCTAAAGAAACGTGGTTTTGTAAAATTGGAACATTAACTTCAGTAACCTTTCCTGGAGGGACTGAAGTGGGAAAGTGTACAAGATGCCTTAGATGGGTGTGACCGGATGGCCTGGAGACCTTACAATACAGATTCTGGTTGAGCACACCTGGGCAGGGACCTGAGAGTCAGCATTTCTTACCAGCTCCCCGTGAAGCTGATGTTCCTTGTGCACAGACCCAAACTTTGAAGAGTTAAGCTAGGTTAGCATGAACACAAAAACTGACCCCTTCATTTTTCAGATTAAGAAAACAGCGATCTGAGGGAGGTTAAGTGACAAAAAGTCACAAATATTGCGTGTTAGAAATAAGACTGAGACCAAATCCACCTGGCTCCCAGGACAATGGTATTTTAAAATGTAAATTCTCATAAAGTGTTCCGCGAAAATGATTTGTTAGCCTCGTTTATTGTTTCTGACTTCCTGGATTAACTTGGAAAATAGCTTCCAGAATTCCTGTTGGATTTCTCTCCCTTTCTTCCTGAGAACAGAGCTCTAAAAACCCTGCCCCGTCTTGCAATTTACAAATGATAGAAACTTACAGTTGATGGAGCCTAACAATGTACTTAACTCTTTCGTGGTGGAAGTTAGGATCTTGAGATGCAGAGACGCGCAGCGACATAAGGTTTATAAACTAAAGCCATCACGAACAATACCAGGGACAGAGTAGGCGCTCATACAATATTACTGAATTCATTAATGTATTCAATAAATATTCCTGTGTCAGGCACTGGGCTAGCTTCTGAAGATTCTTTGAAGTAAGCAGTTACATTTTTCAATTTCTTGGTAAGTCCACCATTTCAACATTAATACAAAGGTAAACCTGAATCGACATATCCAAATGACCCAAATCATAAATACCGAATTGGTGAAATCCCCTTCTAACCAGAATACAGCTATCACAAACTGGATCCTTTGTGAGACCAAGTAGGGGATTTCTGTCATGGGATTTTCTTTGAATACATATAATATTTTTAAATGTATGTAAATGTGTACAAAATATGGTAAAAGGGTTCGAATATAAAATATGGCAACATAATACAGTGCACGAAAAACTTCTAACTCAAGAGCAGTGGTTAGAAATCTGTTTGGGAGTTAATGGGTTTTTGAAAATCTGATGAAACCTAAGGATCCTCTCCCCGGTAAAAGAATTATATGCATTTACATCAAAAAGGTCAGCTGGTTTCAGGAAGACTGTAGACCCTGGTTTACAAATCCCAGAAACAGAGATCCTTTCCTTAATTTTGTTTTCTTATTTTTCTCCATGATATTTAGGAGAAAAAAATGCTATGTAAGAAACAATGGAAGCAGTTTTTATCTGAGCTTGAAGTTTTACTACTGTGAGTATATTTGGTCTGGAATTTCTGCCTCTGTGCCTGGCTTTCATCTTTGTGCATCTTTGATTCTATAACACAGTGCTTGGCATGGTGGGCATGTAATAAAGGTGGGTTGGATATTAGGACTTTGGGTAAATTTTTGACATCTGCTTTAGTATATTCTTCAGAACACATTTTAAAATAGACCATTCACATAATTCACTTGAACGTATTTTAACAAGGAACTGTCACAAGGAAGTGGATTAAATCATGTGTGACTAACATGGCTGAATGTAAAATAACTCCTCGAACGTTAGAATTGTGTCTATTCTACCATTCCCCCCTTCCTTAGAGACACTTTAGTCAAGAAACTTTTGTCAGTATAACCGTCTTCGGGAAGAGCGTTTAGACAGAGAAATCAAGTGCTTTTGATGTGCATATTGTTTTCTGGGATTTCATTCATGAGCCCAGGAGTCCTCAGAGACAAGCTAAAATGACTTCATTTTCATATATATTCATAACTGCAGCTGTGCGGCTGTCCAGCCGGCTCATCGGAGGTCCTTAACCCTACAGACTTCACTCAGCACCCTTTGTGAAAAGAAATGTTCTTTTCAGATGTTTTCTAAACCAATATGTGAAATGGTGGTGGAAGAGGAGTCATTGTGCTAAATCCTGCTTTTGTACCCTGGGCCAGCAATCAAAACATTAGAGTTCTAATCAGAAAAACTTAACGCATACCATTTAGTCAACAAGAAACTAAAGCCAGCATTGTAATAGATTTCTACATGTAAGCTGTATTTATTTGTAATGAACAAGTAACAAATTGAAATCTTTCAGAATTCCAAAAGTGCCAAAGGGTAAACCAAGAAAAGGAGTTTTCCACTATTGTCTTTAACCACCCAGCTGATTGTCCCAAAGGCAGCAGTCATCAGTTTTTTGTAGATCTTCCCAGAGATCTAAAATATGGCAACATAATACAGTGCACAAGAAACTTCTAACTCAAAGCGGTGGTTAGAAATCTGTTTGGGAGTTAACGGGTTTTTGAAAATCTGATGAAAGCTTAAGATCCTCTTCCCGGAAAAAGGTTTATATGCATTTACATCAAATAAGTATATTTGTATTTCTCTATCTCTCTCTCTTTTTTTTTTTTTTTTGAAGTTTATTTCTTTTGAGAGAGAGCGAGCGTGGGAGCACATGCATGTGCGTGCGCAGGAGCAGGGGAGGGGCAGAGAGAGAGAGGGAGAGAGAGAATTCCAAGAAGGCTCTGCACTGTCAGTACAGAGCCCAGTGCAAGGCTCAAACCGTGAGATATGACCTGAGCCAAAATCAAGACGCGGACATTTAACTGACTGAGCTGCCTAGGTGCCCCTGTATTTTGTTTTCTTATTTTCCCATCAGAGGTAGCATAAATATACTGTTCACATTGCTTATTTTAGTATTCCGTTGTGTTCCTGTACTGTAATTTGAATAACCATTCTTATATTAATGGAGTTTTAGATTTTTTTCTAATCTTTTACTTATTTAAAAAAAAATTTTTTTTTTAACGTTTATTTATTT